AGAAAAAATAGATCTACAGAGGACGCTATAGCCATCACTCTTCACACTGCTCTGACTCAGCTAGAACAGCAGAGGGGCTATGTGAGGATGCTTTTTGTGGATTTTAGTTCTGCATTTAACACAATTCTTCCACATAGACTAGTATCTAAACTTCTGGACCTTGGGCTTTCTAATTCAATCCGCCTTTGGATTATGGATTTCCTGTCTGGCTGCTCACAGAGGGTCAGATTAGGTAATCATACCTCTTCACCCTTATTCTTAACACTGGTACACCACAGGGTTGCGTGTTGAGCCCTTACTCTATACTCTTTCTGTGCATGACTGCATTCCCACTCACACTAGTAATACTCTTGCTAAATTTGCAGATGATACAACAGTGGTGGGACTTATCTCCGGGGTGGGGGCGGGGGGGGGGAATGACTGCCTACAGAGATGAGGTGGACCAACGGTTGCTTTCGTGGTGTGAAGACAATAACTTGGGCCTCAACACCATCAAGACCAAGGAGCTTATAGTGGACTATATAGAAGGAACAGATCAGACATCCAGTCCTTGCTTATCAACGGAGACCGAGTGGAGCAAGTGGCCAGTTTTAAGTTTCTGGGTGTTACCCTAAAAGAGGACCTGACCTGGGTGCCCACATTGTAGCCCTGGTCAAAAGGGCCCAGCAGAGATTATACTACCTGAGGCTTCTCAGGAAACAACAACGGAATGAGAAACTGCTGGTGACCTTCTACTGCTGCACCAGAGAGAGAGCATATTAACTTACTGCACCTCTGTCTGGTTTGCCAATTGCACCGGGGCAGATGGGACAGCCACTCCAGAGGGTTAATGTCATTGCTCAGAGGATCCTGGGTTGCCCTCTGCCCTCTTTGGAAGAGCTTTATTGCCTTAAGGAAGTTCAAACCATCCTCAAAGATCCATCTCATCCTGGGAACCCCCCTTTTTTTTGAACTATTACCATCTGGCAGAGGGCACAGGAGAATAAAAACAAGGGCAAATAGGCTGAAAAACAGCTTCTATTCCAGGGCAGGAGCTCTTTTGAATTCTGCTGTATAGTGCAGTGTTGGTGTGGTGTCGGGGGATTCTGGTTCAATGTGTGAAGGATGTGTGTTTGTTGTTTATTTTCATGGTCATGATGTGCACTGAAAATGATGTTTGATTTCGTTGTGTGAGGTGCAATGACAATAAACTAAACTAAACATGGATAGATAGATGATGGATGGGTAGATCGATAGATGGATATAGATCGAAGGATAAATAGTTACTAATGGGTAGATGGATAGATACTAGATGGGTAGATAGGTAGACACATGGATAGATAGATACGAGATTGATACTAAATGGATGGATGGATAGGTACTGGATGGATGGATAGATGAGAGAGTTAGATGTATAGATAGATAGATACTGGATGGATAGACACAGGTAAATAGATAAGTAAATATGGGGTGGATAGATCTATAGATAGATACATAGGTAGGTATGTAGATGATACTAGATGGATGGATAAATGAATAGATGATGGATAGATAGTTTGATTATGGATGGATGGATGGATTTATGGATGGAAGGAAGGATGGATGGTGGGTAGGTGGATAGCTAGGTAGATAGTTCGATTGATGGATGAATGGATCAATGGATGGGTAGATATAGATACTAGATGAATAGATAGATACATAGATATACTAGTTAGATACTAAATGGATGGATGGATAGATGAGAGATATTAGAAGATGTATAGATAGATAATGGATGGATAGACAGGTAAATAGGTAAATACAGGATGGATAGATCTATAGATAGATAGATGATAGATAGATAGATAGATAGATAGATAGATAGATAGATAGATAGAT